CATAACTAGAGGCCAGGTGCACAAAATTTGTGCACCGGGGGGAGGGGCAGAGGAGTTCCTCAGCCCGGCCTGTGCCCTCTCGCAATCCGGGACCCCTCAGGGGATGTCTGACTGCTGGTTTACGGGCCTAAACCGGCAGTCAGGTATACCTCTCGCAATCCAGGACGCTGCATGCACCAGTGACCATACTTTTCATACAGGTGAAAGGCATCTTGCTGTTGTATGGGCAGCTACATTTTTTTGCCCTGATTATAAAAAGTAGTATATAACATGATCCTTCTAAGGCATTAGTACCATTTTCCCCATCTTATGGGTGGAAAAACTGAAGCAGAGAGAAGTTGAGTAATTGACTTTGTCACAGTTATAAGTGTCAGAATCAGGGCTGAACACAAAATGTGCCAGCCAGAGTCCATGCATGTCATCGCTGCATCATCCTGTTTTTCAGTGTTAGAGTAGCCTTGCCAGGTTTTAATTTTTAAATCTAAGAGACTGTTCTCAATATATAGAGTAGGATCCCTAGGCCTGGCCGACAATCAGGGCCGATCTGTGGGGCGACTGGTGGGGCAATCAGGGAGCCCCCGCTGGCACCTGCCTTGGCTGGCCTGGCACCGCCCACACTCTGGCACCGCCCTCCGCCCACCAGTTGTTCTGCAGGTTGTTCCACTGATCGGTCGATTTGCATATTAGGGTTTTATATAGATAGATGAAAAATTTGGAAATATAAAAGCAGTGCAGCTACAATGCTTTATGTTTTCCAGTTGTTGCTGATATATAAAAATACAAATAAGCCAAAGAAAAACTGACAAAAAAGACATGAAAAGGAAATATGAAGAGATGCTTATCACCATCAATAAGCAGAGAATTGCAAATCAAGAGCATAATGAAATACTGCTTCATACCCATTTGACTGACAGAAATTTAAAAGTCCTTTATCAGATGTGTCTGTTGCAGTGAGTTTTCTCACTCCCTTTTGCACAGCAGCAGTTTTTAATTTTAATGAAGTCCAGCTTACCAAATATCTTCTTCATAGATAATGCCTTTGGTGTTGTATCTAAAAAGTCATTGCCATACCTAAGGCCATCTAGGTTTTCTGCTATATTATCTTCTAGGCACTTTATAGTTTTGAATTTTGCATTTAGGTCTTTGATTTATTTTGAGTTAATGTTTGTGCAGGGTGTAAGGTCTGTGTCTGGATTCATTTTCTTACATGTGGATGTCCAGTTGTTCCAGGACCATTTGTTGAAAAGAAATTTCTCCATTGTACTAACTTTGCTCCTTTGTCAAAGAGCAGTTGACTATATTTATGTGAGCCTGTTTCTGGGCTCTCTATTCTGTTCCATTGATTGGTTTGTCTATTCTTTTGCTAATACCTACTGTCTTGATTACTGTAGCTTTATAGTGTCAGTCCTCCAACTTTATTCTTCAATATTGTGTAGCTATTCTGGGTCTTTTGCCTCTTTGTATAAGCTTGAGAATCACTTTGTCAATATCCACAAAATAATTTGCTGGGATTTTTATTGGTATTGCAATGAATCTATAGATCAAGTTGTGATGAACTGACATCTTGACATTATTGAGTCTTCATATCCATGAATGTGGAATATCTCTCCATTTATTTAGTTCCTTGATTTCATTCATCAGAGTTCTGTAGTTTTTCTCATATAGCTCTTGTACATATTTTGTTAGACTTATACCTACGTATTTTTTTGAGTGCTATGTAAATGGTATTGTATTTTTAATTTCAAATTCCACTTGTTCATTGTTGGTACATAGAAAAGCAATTGACTTTGGTATATTACTCTTGTATTCTGTAACCTTCCTATAATGGCTTATTAGTTCCAGGAGTTTTTTGGTCATATGTTTTATTTTTAAGTGGCCTGATTTGTTTCTTGTTTGAGAGTTTAAAAATTGGCGTTATAAATCGTATAGTGGGTTCTGTGCAAATTTAAAATGAAATGGAAGCTAATGTACAGAATTTGAGTGTCACTATTAATTCAGCTGAAGAGTATAACTGGGAAGTAAGCAAGCTCAATCATATTTTCTGGTGGTGTGAATAAAGATCAGTAGCCAAGAATAAGTTCCTATTCCAAGATTCAGGAGGCTACTTTATGTTTCTGGCTAAAGTCAACAACAATAACATTTTACTTTAAATAGTACAGCTATTTTTAAAAAATGTTTTCTTTACCCGTCTCATTAAATCTTTACACCAACTCCATATGAGTTAAGTGGAGAGGTAATTTTCAACCAGTTTGACAGATATGGAAACTGAGGTATGGAATAAATAATTGCTTGAACTAAACAAAAGCAACACTGGAACTGTGACTCCAGAGCTTTGAACTCTCCTTTGGAGAATCTAAATAATAAGTTTGTATTGCTTCAAAGGTCAATATGCAGAATTTAAAAGCCCTATTTGAGTTCATTTACAAGGACTTATAATTTCATTTCCTGGGTATTTTATAAAGAATATCATTTTAAAATTTATTAAGTACAGTATGAATGTGAGTTAAATTCTCCAGTTATCTTCCCTACAAGGTTAATACTAATATGGACAATATAAAAAGTGTAATAGCAGTATTATTACTCAGTTTATAATATGACTTGTTTTATCTTCCTCTATTGCTTTGATCAGGCTGCTATTAAAGTTAGGTTGCATACATTGATTAAAGTCTAACTAGACTTTGGGGAACACAACCTTGGACTGTTCTGGAAGATGAAAGAAAACAATTTAGGGTAAACTAGAAATAAGGGATTTCATGTAGTTATATTTTGTGTATAGCATCTTCTTATGTATCAGATTGCCTTAATATCTGTGAAAATTTAAGAAAGGTGAAGCTCATTTGAAAATTCAACCACCATTTTATTTCAGGAGAGTAGACACAACCGTAAATCAAATTGAAGATATATCAGAGAATTCATTTGTCTACGTATCTTGGTCAAATAGGTGATACTTTTGATAATAATCAGATCAAGTTGAAAAGCCTTGTTTTGTATTCTAAGGCCTTACTCACAGACAAATAGCTCTCCTTGAAGATAAATTGAGAGGTAGGACAGTTTTTGTTAAATGTTAACAGTAGATTGAAGAACTACCTAAACTCTGCAGGAAGATGCTGTTTTTCCCTGGGCTTTTAAGCTAGAGCAGGGGGATTATAAAAAAGTTTAATGTTAATCCTTTATTTTCTTAGAGAAATTATAATTATTTGCTGTTCACACAAAGGAATTTTCCTTCATTTTCTTTTATGTAGATCCATTTGAACCACAGCGGCGTCCCCCTATGAAGAAAAGTCGACAACAACTTCAGCGAGAAAAAGTCCTTCAAGAGCAAAGCCAAAAACTTGGACTGCAAGATGGATCAGTCAGATTACCTCCAGAGCAGCTGCTCTCTGCACCACAACAGAGATTCAGTCATCAAAAGCCACATTTTTCTCCCCCTACTGCTCCTAATCCTCTTACACTCAACTCTCCTGTTGGCAATGGAAAACCACAGGGCACTGAAAGTCAACCAAGGGAACTGGGACTTGAGAATTCCCGGGATGGTCACATAAGTGCTGAGGTTGTACCTCTAAAACCAGATTGCAAATTGGAGAAAAAGAAAGTGGAATTGTTAGTAAGTCTATATATCCATGATATATTTTCCATTTTACTTTTTTTTCCTATTAGGCTTTGAAGAAATGTAGTTTTAACATTTTCTCTCTTTCATATTCTAACCTAGAAATGTGATAAACAAATTGTCAAAAAAGAGCTACTACCTAAATATATTATAAGTCAGTCAGTGTTAGGCATTTTATGTTTAATGTTACTTAGTTCATTATTTTCACTTTGTAGCTATTTTGGACTTAGAATAGCTATTGTGTTCTAAAAGCCAATACACAACTAGTAAGTAGTAGAGTTGGGACTCACATAAAAGTCTCTCTGAATCCAGAGTCTATAACCTTGACACTCACAGAAGCATTTCTTATATGTACTCCTTCCCAAATTTAATGCATTTTTCAACTTCCAGGCTGCATCTTCATTGGCCCAGAAAAGGATACTTGTGAAGAGACATGTAGGGATGGTCAGAGGAAAGAGTGTAGGAAATTAAGGGGACTAATTAAATAATCCACATGCGTCATTAGATTTCTTTTTATTCTTATTTAATTTGTTTGTGTTTGCAACCACCTCCAGAATTTAGTTTAGCTACATTCTTGTGAAAATTGCCATTCTATGACTTGTAAATTCATATAATCATATGTTATTTACTTTGACAGGAGATGTTTAGCTGTGTGAATTATGAGAGCAAAATTGAACATGTGCATACATTCAAATAGTTTACCAACAAAGGCCTGAGACAAATAGGGGGCGGGTTTGAATTGAGCCCGGCAATTTAGATTGCATGTCATGAGGAAAATTATTCTTTTCTTAGGTACTTGGGAGAATTTTCATTGAAGACATGCAATGTCAGAAACTATTGTTGAAAAGGAGGAATTCTGAGGCTCTAAGAACGGGAAAGGAAAGCTTTATTCCAGAGACTGTTCAAAGATGATATCTCACTCCTATGGAAGAGGCAAAGATCAGGCCAGAGAATAGTAAAGAATTAAGAAAGCGAAAAAGGACTTGGGAGTAGAGGATCCTTGCCTAGCAAGTTCCCAGATGCTGTAGTACAGTGGCCGTCAACCAGTGGTCCGCGGACCACTGGTGGTCTGTGAGGTCTGAAAGGTTAGTGACCGCTGCTGTAGTAGACCACCGAGCCCTCTGAAGGAGAGAGGCCCTGATCAGAATAATGGTGAGAAAATGTTCAGGTGTCAGTGTTGCAGAATATTTGGGATAGGGTTCTGGCTGAGCTGGAACTAAGGCATCTGGTGAGGAGGTGACTGCGATAATAAAAATGAGAAAGGACCAGCACTAAGATGGAAGTTGTAGGAATGGAGAGAAGGATAATTGTGGAAGTGATTGCTAAGTCTGGGAATAGATATTTTTGGTATACGGCTGTAAGAAATGTCAACAATAGGAACAAATAGCTTTTTCATTATCTTGTTTAATTTGAGTTGACATCAAGTTGATGAATTTACGGGAAATTTTAATATACTTCTTTCAGAATTAGATTGGAAGGCAATTCATGTTTTCAGACCTTTGAAGTTTTTCTTTATCCCACCATTCAAGTCTTAGTTCATAGTTTTTTACTTTGTTTACAAATGTTTAAGAGCTGGAAAGAAGTGAGGAAATTGAAAGAAAATGAATGAAATAAACATTGGTTATTGTTCTAAGGGTGTTTCATGGTGCAGACTTTTATTATAGAAAACTCTATAGAGTCACTTCTGGGTAAGATGGCAGAGTAAGTAAATGCTGTGCTCACCAGCTCCCACAACCACATCAAACTTACAGCTAAGTTATAGAACAACCACCCTCAAGAACCACCTGAAAATTAGCTGAACAGCCCACCAGTGGTTAAGCGTTGACCTATGAACCAGGAGGTCATGGTTTGATTCCGGTCAGGGCATATGCATATGCCGAGGTTGCAGGCTCAATCCCCAGTGTGGGGTGTGCAGGAAGTGGCCAATCACTGTTTCTCGCTCATTGTTGATGTTTCTATCTCTTTCTTCCCTCTCCCTTCCTCTCTGAAATCAATAAAAATATTTTTTTTTAAAAAAGAAAATGAACTGAACAGAACTCTAACTAAAGATACAAAGAGAAAGACTGGTAGGAGGGACATACAGAGCAGGCAGGTCCCACACTCATGGTGTGGTGATAAGATTCAGGAGGGCTATCTTGGCTGTGAGAGTTCCTTATTGAGTTAGGGGTCCTAACCCTAGGCCATCTCTCAAGCCCAGGGCACCAGTGCTGAGAAGAGGAGTCCCCACAACATCTGGCTGTGAAAGTCACCAGGGATTGCACCCTTGTGAGACGGAGGGCTGCTGGAGGCGCAGGCTTTCTTCTTGAGGAGTCTGTGCATGGAGTTACTCACAAACTCCTTGCTCTAAGCCTGCAGGAGCAGCAGCTCATAAAGTGCCAGGGACATGCAAGGAGTAAGTGAATTGCCTAGCTTCAAATGAGGACTAGAGGGACAGGGGCCAGCTCGCTCTGGGGACAGAAACACTGGCAGGTGCCATTGTTCCTTTGTTGAGCCCAGCACATACGGGTACCAATCTAAGCTATCACCGTTCGCCCCACCCTGGTGAATCCCTGAGACCTCACCTCATTCAACTCATGGACTGCCTCAGCTCATACTGTGGACTTTTCCTAAGATCTTAAAGGTTCACAAACCAAACAAGCAGCAGCTGTCCTCAGCATGCTCTGTACCTCTCGCTAAGCAACCCCAAGCCTGACACAAGTGATGACTAATCTCAACTTGCATTTGGCTGGCCTCAGCTCAAATCATGGTGTCCACCAAAGGGTCCCAAGCCTGACACTACTGACAGTGGCATTGGTTTGCAGCATAGTCTCTCCCAAGCACCTCCAAGTCCGGCACAAGCATCAACCAACTGCAGATCACTTTGTAGCTTTGACCAGGTGGCCCCAAGCCACTGGAGTCTGACCTTGGCCTGCAATGGAGCTCCTCCTAAAAGGCTTCAAAACCAACACAACTGGTGACCAACTTCAGACCACACCAGAGCATCACCCAACCAGCTCCACAAAAGACACACCCAAAGGGTGAACTTAGCTGGCACCACAGCCCACCTGAAGAGACTCCCTCTCTATGGGATAAGCCTCTACACGGCAGCTTTCCGTAGTCATAGCTAATCCTCACAGCAAGTAAGCCAGGCGGGCCATCCCACCCATTGATGTGCCAATAGCAACCAGGGCTCAACTACCACAGGACAGCACACACAACCCACAAAAGGGATGCCCCTGGAGCACCTGGCTTAGGTGAACAGAAGGACTGCACCATGGGGCCTCAGAGAACATCTACTATATAAAGCTACTCTGCCAAGACTGGGAGACATAGCAGATCTACCTAATACATAGAAATATAAGGATTCAAACAAATGAGCCAAGCATTTCCCAAATGAAAACATAAAAAAGAGCATAATACATAGAAATATAAGGATTCAAACAAATGAGGAGCCAAGCATTTCCCAAATGAAAACATAAAAAAGAGCAACAAAATGGAGAAAGCAATCTGCCAGATACAGAGTTCAAAACAGTGGTTGGCTATAGAATGCTCAGTGAACTTAGAAGAAGAATAGATGAACTCAGTGAGAACCTCAACAAAGAGAAGGAAACCATAAAAAAAATGAATAATAACTGAAATGACTACATTAGAGGGAATCAACAGCAGGTTATAAGAAGCAGAGGATTGAATCAGCGATCTGGAAGATAAAGTAGCAGAAAACACCCAATTGGAACAGAAAAATAATTTTTTTTTTTTAAATGAGGACAGTTTAAGGTACCTCTGGGACAACATCAAGTGTATCAACATTCACATCATAGGGGTGCCAGAAGAAGAAGAAAAAGAAAACGAGGGGCTGAGAACCTATTTGAAGAAATGATGACTGAAAACTTTTCTCACCTGGCAAAGGAAATAGACAAGCCCAGGAAGCACAGAGTCCCAAATAAGATGAACCCAAAGAAACCCACAGCAAGACATAATTAAAATGCCAAAGGTTAAAGACAAAGAATCGTAAAAGTAGCAGGAGAAAAGCAGTTATGTACCAGGGAACTCCTATAAGACTGTCAGGTGATTTCTCAACAGAAATGTTGCAGGCCAGAAGGGATTGGCTTGAATATTCAAATTGATGAATGGCAAAGACGTACAACAAAGGTTGCTCTACCCAGCGAGTCTGTCATTTAGAATCAAAGGAGAGAGTTTCCCAGACAAGAAATAGCTAAAGGAGTTCATCACTATTAAACCAGTTGAAATACTGGTTTAATAGAAATAGAAATGTCCAAAGGACTTCTTTAAGTGGAAAAGAAAAGATCAAAACTATGAATAAGAAAATACAGAAAAGAAAATTCTCACAAAGGCAAATGTAGTAAAAGCAGTGGATCAATCAACTGTCGAGGTTCTCACTGAGTTAATCTATTCTTCTAAGTAGAAAGGTGAAAAGGAAAAAGTACAAAGACCATGTTTAATTAAATTATACATAAATACACACAGAAGAAGTAAAAAAGAATGACAGAGACAAACATGGAGGGGAAGAGTAAAAATTGTAGTGATTTTAGAACATGCTCGAACTTAAGGAACCATCAACTTAAAATAGACTGCTCTAGCCCAGCCAGCATGGCTCAGCATGGCTCAGGAGGTCACTGTTCTAAAAAAAGTCAGGGCATGTACCCAGGTTGTGGGCTCAATCCCCAGTGTGGGGCATGCAGAAGGCAGCCAATCAATGATTCTCTCATAATTGATGTTTCTATCTCCCTTCCTCTCTGAAATCAATAAAAATATATTCTAAAAAAAATAGGCTGCTATAAATATAGTTTGGTAAATATGAAGTATATGGTAACCGCAAAGCAAAAATCTCTAAGAAATATACAAGAAATGAAGAGAGGGATCCAAACACAACACTAGAAAGTTATCAGTGTACAAGAAAAGAGAACCAGAGAACTACAAAAACAATCAGAAGACAACAAAATGGCAATAACGACATACCTATCAATAATTACTTTATATGACCCAGCAACTTCACTCCTGAGTATTTACCCAAAGAGATTCAAAACACTCATTTAAAAAAGACATGTGCGCACATGTTCATTACAGTCTTATTTACAGTAGCCAAGATATGGAAGCAACCTAAGTGTCCGTCTATAGATAAGTGGATAAAAAACAATGGTACATATGTACAGTGGAATGTTACTCAGCCATAAAAAATGAAATCTTGCCACTTGCAACAACATGGATGGGCCTAGAGGGTATTCTGCTAAGTGAAATAAGTCAGACAAAAGGACAAATACCATATGATTTCAGTTATATGTGGAATCTCAAAAGCAAATGAACAAACAAAACAAACTAATAGAACAAATTTATAGTTGCCAGATGGGAGGGGGTTTGAGGAGATGGGTAAAAAAAGGTGAAGGGATTAAGAAGCACAAATTGGCAGTTATAAAAATAGTCCCAGGGATGTAAAATACAGCATAGGGAATAGAGTTAATAATATTGTAATAACTACATATTATGTGAGTTGGGTACTCAGTTTATCAGGGTGATGACTTTGTAAGGTATATAAATGTCTAATATGTTGTACACCTGAAATTAACATAGTATCATATGTCAACTGTAATTGAAACACTTTTTTAAAAAATTAAATGCACATTCAGTCTGGAGAAAAAGAAAACTCTCTAGGCATGCAAAGAAAGGAAATTGTGATACATAACCGGGAGGAAAGTCATCGAGAGAAACAGCCCACAAACAATGGGAATTATCAGGCAAGGAATATTTAAACAGCTATTACAAATATGTTCCATGTGCCCAAGAATGTAGACTATAAAATGATTTAATGATTAAATTGCTAAAATGATTTTTAAAAGAACTTTGAAAAATATAACATGATGTTAGCTACAGACCTATTTATTTGTCTCTCCATTTTGCATATAATACATAATTAACTTACACAGGTTTCTTTGTACTTCTAAAAAATGCCACATTATTCTGGCTTCCAGTTTGTGGGTTCCTAGGTTATTTATATATATATATATAATGGATTTCAAAGGGCCAATTTATGGTATGTAAGCCTTCTTTACTTCAAATCATAATCTTTGTTTCTATTAGAACAAAATAATGAGCTGCAGATGGGTTCCTTTCAAAAGGACTTTTTAAAAATATATACATAATCTGGCTGATTAAATTTTATACATAGGGGACTGAGACTGGGAAGGTGTGGGGTGGTGTTCCAGAAACTCATTTTTACACTTTTTTGCTCCCTAGGCAAGAAAAGTCTCGTTGGGAAGTCCTCCAACAAGAACAGCGGCTAATGGAAGAGAAAAATAAACGTAAGAAAGCTCTTTTGGCTAAAGCTATTGCGGAAAGGTGAGGCACCTGAACCACGGGAGATGGTTTGCAATCTGCAGTCAGCTCTGTCATGTTTTATATTTATTTTCCTATGTCTATGCTAATAAACTGGCATTTTCTTTAAGGCTGATTAAACAAATTATGCTTTATAAATGATACTGAAGTCATTTAAGGATAGATCATAGCAAATTTACTGGTAATACAGGTACAATTAAAACTTAAGGATCAGTGTCAGTGCTTTCAGTTTTAACCATCTATACATTCATAAGGGAGCAGTAAATAGCTGTCAATATAAGTAAATTAAGAAATGCAAGTTTTCATTTTGACATGAGGGGGCCTTTATCATCTAACATGTAGAGGAGCGGATTGTTCCATATAAATGTTTTATACTCCCACAAATCTTATGTTTCCTATGGACGTTTTTCTTAAATAATTACTCTGCCCCCCCACTGATAGAAGATACATGATATAATTTAAGCTTTTATTGATGACTTGGGTCACCATTGGGAGCACTGTCCCATACTGTGTGCAGTTCAGTTTTTCTCTCACCTTCCAATGTTAGTGTGTCCGAAATCCCCCACCCCTTTTTTTTACTGTGTTGTGCTGGCCTCAAACAAGAACATTCCCATTGGAACTGCTTTTCCCATCCCTCACCCACTCTTTCTGCCCTTTTATTATTTTTTATTTTAAAATTTTTTTGGTTAATCCTCACCCGAGGGTATTTTTTCCATTGGTTTTCAGAGAGAGTAGAAGAGAGAGGGAAAGACAAAGAGAAATATCGATGTGAGAGAATCACATGGGTTGGTTGCCTCCTGCAGGAGCCCAAGCCCCAACCAGGGCCCCGGCCTGGGAGGAGCCTGCAACCAAGGTACATGCCCTTGACTGCAATCAAACCTGGGACCCTTCAGTCTGAAGGCCAACGCTCTATCCACTGAGCCAAACTGGATAGGGTGAGAATGTTTTTCTTTACACAAATAAAGATCAAATGGAAAGCCACAGTGAAATATTACCTCACACTTTTCAGAATGGCTATCATCAATAAATCAACAAACAAGTGCTGGTGAGGAAGTGGAGAAAAGGAAACTTCCGTGCACTGTTGGTGGCCATGCAGATTGGTGCAGCCACTGTGGGAAGCAGTATGGAGTTACCTCAAAACATTAAAAATGGAACTGCTTTATGACCCAGCAATTCCACTTCTTGAAATTTATCCATAGAAACCTGAAATGCTAATTCAAAAGAATAGATGCAGCCCTATGTTCACTGCAGCTTTATTTATAATAGCCAAGATTTGGAAGCAGCCCAATTGTCCATCAGTAAATGAGTGGATAAAAAAGCTGTGGAAGTAGTCCCATTTGTTTATTTTCTCTTTAGTTTCCAATGCCCTAGGTCAGTGTAAAGAGAATACAGATATATTCTTTTAGTGCATATTCTCATCCTTATGGAATGAGTATACCTATGAGTGAACTATTTATTGATAAATTTTTCAGTCTTTTCCCCTGTATGTGAAAATCATCTATAATAATAAAATCGTAATATGCACATTAGATTGGACAGCCAAATGTCCTTCCAGATGACCTTCCGAACGAAGCCGGGGCTGAGAGAGCCAAGCCCCTTGCAAGAATTTCGTGCATCAGGCCTCTAGTACATATTAATAGAAAATTTGGAACAATACGGAGAAGAAGCGCAAATCTTAGTGATACACCAAAATGTTACGGGCATTTGACTTATTTCTATTTTTCTTATCTAATTTTTAAAAATTATACATTATATTCATATTGTAAATACAGTACCTTGCTTTTTTCATTTACATTGTATATGGATATATGGTTTTAGAATGTTTTCTACATGCTAATAGAAAATTTGGAACAATACGGAGAAGAAGCGCAAATCTTAGTGATACACCAAAATGTTACGGGCATTTGACTTATTTCTATTTTTCTTATCTAATTTTTAAAAATTATACATTATATTCATATTGTAAATACAGTACCTTGCTTTTTTCATTTACATTGTATATGGATATATGGTTTTAGAATGTTTTATTTTCCCACTCATGTTCCTAATTTTCTAGATCTAAAAGAACTCAGGCAGAGACCGTGAAACTGAAGCGGATCCAGAAGGAGTTACAGGCTTTAGATGACATGGTGTCAGCTGACATCGGAATCCTCAGGAACCGGATTGACCAGGCCAGCCTGGACTATTCAAATGCTCGGTGAGTTGGAGAAATTTGATTCAGAACAAGCAGTTCGATTTAATTAATGTGTATTGCTAGCTGGGTCAGGACCTTATGTGTATCATCGTTTAAGCCTCATAACCACCACATTAAGTGTTGTATTTATTCCTGGTTTGGAATAAGTAGTGTCAAGTGTGTCTCCTCTTCTTGAAGTTTTCCTTTACTTTGCCCTACCCCTTAACCTTGTTCATATTCCCTTTAGATTATTTCCTGCATTGTTTATTTACATTTTAGTCTTTCTTACTAAAGCATCGGGTATTTAATGTTCGAGACTCTTTAAATATCTGAATGACTTGCCCCCAAATTATAATTCTAATGCCAACTCTATGGTTTTTCTGTTAAGAAATTTTGATTGAGGTTCTCCTTAGGGATTAGCCTAGTTCTCATTTCAGTTTTCATTAAAGAAACATCTAGTTTATTTGTTAAAGCCTATGAGTATTTAAAGAAAATACCACTGTCTTGAAAGCTGGAAGTTTTTTTCTTTCCAATTCTATTCTGTATAAAATGGTTTGCTATCGTGTGTTTCCTTGGTTTCAGCCATTGGCATTTTTTAAGAGAAAAAGTCATCATGGAGTATTTTTAAAATGAACTAACACATGTAAAGAATTACATGAACTTTGCAAGCAGATAAAAAGGCAAAAAATTAAGTCCAATTTCAGGGTTTTCAGTCCTTTCAACATTGCTTTAATCATCCTGGTTTGTCTTTTTTCACAAGGGAATGCTGTGTTAATGACTCCGTTTTGCATCTTTCTCTGTAACACTAGAAATCAATCAGAATGCCTCATTAGTCCAGGGTAAACCACAGCATCAGAATGTTTATATAACAATTTAATAAAGCGGAAATGCTTGATTGTGGTTTTTAATTCACTGTTTATTATTTAAGAAAGAGGTTTGTGGTGTCCTCATGATTTTTGTAATTGTTGTTTGACCATGTGCTGTTAGATTTAATGGGTTGCCTAAATTAATGCCATCAGTAGCTGATAACTAGAGGTTCCAGATTTCTACTAATAAGGTCATTAAGGAGGTGACCAAGATTTTATTAAGATCAAACTAAGCCTAGATGTTTAGCACATTTTATTCTCTGTAACTTAAGGTTGCCAGAGGAACTTTTTTTTTTGCCTTTATTGCCTTTTATATGAATAATTCAGATTATTCTGGATACTTCAACAGAAAATTTATCTGATTATGTTTTAATTCTGACCTAGAGGAGGCTGGCAAAGGATGCCTTTGTACACTGAACATTATATTTTTAAAATTTCATAGTTTTAGCCTTCAGAGAACCACAAAGAAGGTGGAATTACAGGTTAAAGGAGGAAACAGCCCATAAAATTGAAATATTTATAATGAAATTTCAGTAAATTTTTACAAAATAAAAAAATTTTACATGGTGCGTTTTTTACATCTCTTAACAAGCTCAAAATGATAATTTCTTAAGGTACTGTTAATGACATCATTGTATGTGAATATCCATATTGCATGTGTGAGGCTATTTTTTAAAATCTTATTAACAGTTGTGACCAGAACCAGCATTGTATCTTGTTCATGCATAAGGTTAAGACATTTTCTAAATTTATGTCTCTGGTTATTGAGAAATTATAGAATGGTAATATACTATTATGGTCTAGATTTCTACTAATCCCCAGGTAGTCCATTTATTTGGGAGATTTTCCTTGATTTTAAAAAAATATATATGGGTTCTCTAGTGCCTGGTACAGTGCTGTGTCCACAAAGGTTCTGGGATACTGAATAGGCCAGAGTTCACTGTGGAATTGGCTTCTGTAGAACACCATCAGGGCAAACACTTTTGAGTGAGCCAACTTGAGCATTGCTGCTGTGCTGCTGCTGTGCTGCTGCTGCTGCTATTGGCAGCAACAATGACAGTGCTGCCATATGCTGTGCAGACCAGCTTGTAAAACTCAGAGTGGCTGCATGTAGAACATTTCTTTAACCCTCAATATACCAGGAAAAACAATTATCACTATTTGCCACCTCTGTTTCACAGACGCTCCCCCACACACGTGTACACACACGTGCACATGCACGTATAATTTTAAGTCATTTTATGAGTAATCGACAGAAGTGAGACTAAAAGGGATTGTGGAAAACAGCTTCATTAAAAATTGTAATAAGAACCTAAGCATCACAAACCTCTTTGTATCAAGTATTGTTTGACTCCAAAATTTATTTTTTAAAGAAAGGAAAGAATGCAGCTACAGCCTCCCAGCAATACAGGATGGTCCAGATTCTTATAAAATATGGATTGATTAAGTTCTTCCTATTGAAACTATTAACTATGAAAAATAACATTTTCTTTTTATCCTCTTTTCACTCATTGATTTGTGAGTTTGAGAACATTCATCTAGGATGTGTTTTTCTGAAGACATACTCTGAGATGTCACATATATGAACAGTATCACCATCTAGAATCTAGACTGGCTGTATGTGCATTTGTGTTGATTAACTAGGGCTGCTATAACAGATTACTACCAACTGGGTGTCTTAAAACAAGAGCAATATACTCTTACATTTTCTGGAAGCCAGATTCTGAAATCAAGGTATCGGCCGGGTCACACTTCCTTCAGAGACTCTAGATTTTGGAGATTAGGAAGAGAATATCTTTGTGGGATCACTTTTTAGCCTACCACAACATTTATCTTTTGACCTAATAAATGCAAAATGTTTTCATCTGTCAGTTTTCTCTACTTTGCCAGTAGTGCAGAGAATAAAAAAAAATACTAATTCTCAACTGTGTTCAATGAAAGCTAGAGCAGATTACAAAACTGGGGTTTCCAGTCTTTTATACTTTCTTGAAAAATGATATAATACTTTGGACAATGCAGTAAGGAAATTGAACCATAATGGTTTATTTCATTATAGCACCGTCCTTTTAGGTCATTTCACCAGTCTCTTTTTTCTTATTATTTTAATTTGCTAGCATAAATGGGAATAACTGGTAAGAAGGAAATACGACATAGGGTGATGAAATGGCAAAATGTTAAAAAAATAATATCTCAACGATCTGGTAAAGTAACCTAGATTTATAAAAGGATCCAATGGACCTATGTAGTAATTGCAAAATATGATTAGTCTTACTCTATTTTTTTTAAATATAAATATATTTTCTCATTGTTGTCTAGAGGACTTCTAATACAGGACTTTAAAAATCATGATATGTTGATGCTTACAAATAGTTATAATTGCTAATAAAAGAAACAGAAAAACTAAAAGTGGATCAGTGGAACCTAATGGCATGCCACGGGTTAATGATTGAGTTTTTGTTGTTGTTGTTGTTTTAATTTCAGGGATACCAAAGCCAAGACACAGTTTCTAGAATCCTTTAAATAACAATTAAATCATTCAATGTCCCTTTAAAATAACAAACTAAATCTATAATTACATTTCAGCTGAATTTCTCTTACTGTGTTATATATAATGCACTTACTATTCTGTTCCAAAGTGTGTCTTCAGGATGATGTGGTACATCCACCTGACCCCCAGGCCCATAGTGCAGTTTGTAAAACTAATCAATACTTTAAACATAAATCACTCTGTACAAGAATATATATGCATGTTTCTGGCCAGAAGGACTTAAATAAATAAACAAAATGCAGGATCTTCAGTGATTTATCCAGGGTGAAAGATTAATGGAAACCTAGGTAACTATTTGCAAATTTTCATTTCAATTCAGCATTCATGAGCCCGGGTCAGTAAATCTTTCCTGGCTGACTTTGACTGGCTGAGGGCAACCACAGCCTTGCAGAGAAGGGAGGATTGGGGGGGGGTGTGGGGGGGGGGGGCGCGAGGTAGTCATAGACCTATAGAGAGTGTTGTTAGAGTATTTATGTTTGATGCCAGAACATTCACAAACAGGATATGTTATACAGTATGGAAATCAGGGATCCAAATATCCAACAGAGCTCCTTTAGCACAATTCTCTTAACACAGAGGGTAATGGAAAAACAGCTTTCCCATTCCCATGTTTACTAGAGGACAGTAAAAAAAAAGAAAAGAAATATGATAAATAAATGTTATGTAAGTTAGAGTTTTCAAGTATAAGCACCAGATCCTTACATTTTGCATCATTTTCATTTGAGATATATGTTCAGTGATATACTGACAGTGCTTTTTAAGTCTGGTGCTCCGGAGGGTAAGTTCTGTTTCTTGAGTACCTACCAGGCCCTAGACCAGACACTTGCCCTACTCCCATTACTTAATCCTTAATGCTCCTATGAAGTACTATTATCACCATTTTACAGATAAAACAGAACTCAATTGAAGGAAACTACCTCGGGTCACTCCACTGGATTTTTAGTCATTGCGTGCTTTGTCTCCAACCCCTCCCCCAGGAGCCTGGCTGTGTTTTATACTCATGATGCTGACCCTGGGCCATCTCTGATTAGAACAAAGACAAGCTACCAACTCCAAAACATTTCATCTATAAGCTACTAGTAAACAAGGGTTCAGAGCATGGCCTGGTACTATGAGCTCTGTGAATAACAGAGACCCATTCAAACTAGCTCAGGTAAAAAGTGGGTTTTATTATTTTATAGGTTACAAGAGGGTATCTCACAGGCATGTGATCATAGTCAAAGGCTCTCCTCTTCAATGTTCAGACACCACAGTTTCTCTAAAGCATTTTGGCTTTTCCTACTATACTCATCACCCAATATTGCCACCAGCTGTGGCTCTATATCAGGTCCACACCCACTTCCCGACTCTATCAGAGTTCCAAAATTCCAGAGGGAGGACCTAAGTTGGCTTTTTACCTGAGCTAGTTTGACTGGGTCTCTCTTCTTCACACCCAAGAAAAAAACAAGTATACATTTAGCAAATGGCAAAGGCAGGTTTAGAACTCCAGGTTTTCTAAAATCAAAACCTTTTATTTTTTCACTATCTCTTCTTCCAAGACAGAGAATCTTGAGTTAGGAGATACAAGTATTTCTTTTTTGCTATAATTCTAGGACTAGAAATTACTTATTACATTGAGTTGTATAGGCAATCATAAGGCAGCATAGCCTTCACAACTGTTAGTGGAAATTAAATGGAATAATTACTTGGTAAGTGGAGATCACTCTTTTCTTGGCAAAAATAAAAGCAGCAAATTATATAGAAAAGTCAAAACACAGTGAACCAATATATAAGGGGAAATAAAGGGAAATCGTAGGATGACTTTCCCAGTAGAATTACCTTACTTCAAGTAAGACTGGAGTTTACATATCTAACATTTATAAAATCTATATAATAAAACCCTAATATGCAAATCAACCGAACAGCGGCGGAACAACTGGTGGAATGACCAGTCGCTATGACGCGCACTGACCACTAGGGGGCAGACGCTCAACACAGGAGCTGCCCCGTGGGGATCAGGTCTAAACCAGCAGTATGACATCTTCTGAAGGGTTCCTGGATTGTGAGAGGGCGCAGGCCAGACATAGGGACTGCCCTCCCTCCCCCCGTGTAAGAATTTTGTGCACCAGGCCTCTAGTTTCCTAATAAAAGTCTGATAACACTGTTGTTGCAGAATGGAGAGGGTGAGAATAACTTAACCCAGGAATTCTCAAATGGGACATTTTTGCCCTTTGGAGAAGATGTGGAGACATTTGGTAATGTTCTGGAGACATTTTTGGTTATCACAACTAGAGGGTGCTACTGGCAGCTGGTGGGAGAAAGCCAGTGATGCTGTGCTTTCTACAATGTCTAGGACAGCTCCCCACAACAAAGAATTACATGGTTCAAGTTGCCAGGAGTGCCAATGTTGAGAAACCCTTCCCAAACATATCCTAAGGTTTTCTTTCCTACTGGATGTTTACTTTTTGCCTGCACCCAGTATCATTTGCTTGGTGTGCCCTGTCCCATTTATATTCATTTCCCAACCACTGTCCATATCCTTCTCCACCAAAATTTTTCTTCCTTTTTTAATCCATTAATCAAAAGATACAGATTTCTCAACAACAAAAATCCGATTAAAAATGGGCAAAGGGCTCTATCTGGTTTGGCTCAGTGAATAGAGCGTTGGTCTGCGGACCAAAGGGTCCTGAGTTAGATTCTGGTTAAGGGCACGTACCTCTGTTGCAGGCTCCTCCCTGGCCTAGGTCCTGGTCAGGGCATGTGCAGGAGGCAACCAATTGATGTGTTTCTCTCATATCGATGTTTCTCTCTGTCTTTCCCTCTTTCTCCCACTCTCTCTAAAATCAATGGAAAAATATCCTCGGGTGAGGTTTAAAAAAAAAATAGGCAGAGGACCTGAATAAACATTTTTTCAAGAAAGACATACAGGGGGCTAACATATATATGAAAAGGTGCTCAACATCACTAGTTATAAGGGTAATGCAAGTCAAAACCACAATGAAATACCACCTCATACCTGTTAAAATGGCTATTATCAATAAGACAAGAAATAACAAGTTCTGGAGAAGATGTGGAGAAATAGGAACCCTTGCACACTGCTGTGGGAATGTAAATTGGTGCAGCCACTATGAAAAACCTCCACTCTGGAGGTTTCTCAAAAAATTAAGAAGAGCTATCTTATGATTCAGTGATCCCTTTTCTGCATACCTACCCCCAAATTTGAAAACACTGGTAAAGCTTTATGTACCCCTATGATCATTGCAGCATTATTCACAATAGCTCACTGTCTTTTGACTTTTCTTTATAATTTGTTGCTTTTTTTTTTCATAAAACAACCTAAGTTGGATGATTGGATAAAGTAGATGTGGTACATATATACAATGGAATACTCCCCAGTCATTAAAAAGATGAATTATTACCAGTTGTGACAACATGATGGATCTTGAAAATATCCTAAGTGAAATAAGTCCCACGGAAAAGACAAGAACCATATAATTTCACTCTATGTAGGATATAAAACCAAAAGCAACCAATGAACAAAAAACTCAGATATAGACAGAATGGTATTTACTAGAGGAGAAGGGAGCTGGAGAGAGGTAGAAGGAGCTAAAGGGGGTTAAATATATGGTGACAGAAGGAGACTAGACTTCAGGTGGTGAGTACAAGTAGAGTACGCAGATGTATTATAAAGTACACCCGAAACTAAGATAATGTGATTATTAACCAATGTCACCCTGATAAATTTAAATAATAGAGATTCTTTCACCATCTTTTACTGTTTTACCACTTATAAATTTGACCACTTGTGTGCTGGAGCTAGTTCATGAGAGCAGATTTTGTGCATCCCCTCCCCCCTTCCACATTCAGTTATATTGTAGCTTGAAATTGGTCAAGGTGTAGTGTTTACACTATGGAAGTTGACAAACACTACAAATCAGGACTTATCCCCTTTAGAGCTAGCATACCACTGAGTTCACCCTCTTCGCCTGCTTTCATTCAAGCACAGCTTTGGAAAGAGGCAATGAGTGCAGAAGAATGTTGATCTATAGGAGAGTCCAAGTGTGGATGTTATGGAAGTTTCAGCAGCAACAGTCTAGTTTGTCCAACATGTAGACAAGAGTTCATAAAGTATTAATAGTCATATCTTCATTATACCTTGTTACCAAATTCTGGAGTTCATTTATTGCTGCTCGGCCCTCTGTCTACTATGGAAAACTAATGGACCAATCTTTGTACCTGTCCCTACAGGAAGCGGTTTGACAAGGCAGAAGCAGAGTATGTTACAGCCAAGCTCGATCTACAGCGCAAGACTGATACTAAAGAGCAGCTCACTGAGCACCTTTGTACAATCATACAGCAAAATGAGCTCCGCAAGGCCAAGAAGTTGGAGGAGTTGATGCAGCAACTGGATGTCCAAGCTGATGAGGAGACTTTGGAGCTTGAGGTGGAGGTGGAGAGACTACTGCACGAACAAGAGGCAGAAGCAGGGAAACAGAAGGTTCATGGAGAGAGGCCATTTCAGCCTTCCGGGGAGAGTGTGTCATTAGGGTCTACTCAGAACAAAGAGCATCAAGCACCAACTGCTTGCCCAGAGGTAGATGAACAATGTGAAAATCCCAAGAGCACTCCCCTTCTCACGCCAGACCACCCAAGTCAGGAAGTGAAGACTGGTGCTCATGACAATGGTTCAGCTGCTCTGACCACATGAAGGGCCAGTGTTTGTTGTTTTCAGCTAATATGGGCTTCAGTAGACTTTCTGTTGTAGAGTGTGCCATGACCGCTGCTAAATGCCTCTTTAAAACAATATTAGTTTTTTAATCTAGGATTAGTGTTAGAAATAATATGTTGGACCATTCTAAAGCCTCAATAATTATAATTTTATCCATAGTTCACCTTGATTTTGGTCCAGTTTCCTTAGTGTCCCCTTATCTTGGGTGAAAACAAGTAACTTAAAGAATAGAAGAAAAATGACATGGTTATGAGTGTTTTTAGACCAGGTCAATATAGAACAAGTAAAATGAAAAATAATAATACCTCATCAAACTCATTTAACTTCTGAGAGAAGTGCTGGGACTGAGAATCCTGTTTTATGTCATCAGTAAAGAGACACAAAACTTAAACATGAAAAAGAAAACAAACAACTAACAAAAGTAGTATTTGGGTCTTACTAGATTATTATCTGTTTGGGTCTTACTAAAATTGCAAAACACAGTTTTGAAATTACCAGCTTAAGCCAACATTACTTTTGTATTCACATTGCCTTTTAAGTGGCTCTAGTTTACAACCCGAATTTTGGTTGACATATACACAAATATATATATACACACACACACACACACACACACACACACACATATATATATATACACACACACACACATATCTCAACATGCTATATATATAATTTTACTATTAATAAATTGTCTTTAATGAGCACATTGATTAAATTTAGACAATGAAAACGTGTCTATAGTGAGATTGAAAATAATATAGAAAATCTTGCTACTTTTGATTATGAAAAAAAATACATTTTCTTTCTGACATTACAGTAAGAGTGTATTTTATATGTCGGATATAAATTATCCTGTCATAAAGCATTTAAATTGGTAAAATGGTGATTTTCTTATTACTCTAATAGTTTATTAATTGCCATCACTAATACTTGACCACTACATTGTGCTATATGTGAATTTGTAAATAAATATTATAGTTTTGTTACAAAATCTGTGAATATCACGTTAAATTCTGATTTATCAGAAATTCCAAACAGTGAAGTCAAGCATTTTAAGCCTTAAAAAAGAAATAAAAGTGGATAAGGACAAATGTAATATAGTATACATAATAATTTCTGAAAAATAATTTTTTAATGAGTTTGTTTGAGAATATTATTTTCTAATAGTGAGGATGAGCACTGTATTTTTATATTATGTAATTTGACATGAAATTATAGCTCTCCATTACTGGCTTCTCTAAACAGAGACATTTTTATAGACCATTTGTTTTTATTTATGAATGACATGCATAAAAACTGAAAACTTCATTGTCCAATATAGTCCTATTTTTCTAAGGGATAAACAAATCTGATGCACTTATAATGTGGTCTCTCGTTTATCTTTTTTTTTTAATTTCACAGTTTAATATGTGTTCTTGAGCAGTGTGTGGCAGTAATGCATCCTGAATCTTCATATGGTAGATACAATCAGCTATTTTTATATGAACCGCTGTTAGGGCAAAATTCATCCATAAATGAGGTTTATAATATTGTATCCAAAAACAGATGGATACAACTTAATACTCAGTTTAAGTACCTTAAGAATTTATCATATAAGATATATGAAGAAATGAAAACCATGAAATAAATGAAATGGATGGGGCTTTGGAGATCATCTGATTTAATGATCTTACTTTACAGATGAGGAATTTGAGAGCCAGAGATTTCACTTATGTCATGTTGGCCGACTGGCTCACTTTAAACTTACAGGGATAGTCAAGTTATCCTATCTAAACTCTTGATGTGTCTCTTTCAGCCTTGATGTATCTCCTAGAGTGCAGACCACAAAGTTCACTGCATCCCTCTTAAACCCACTCTGGGATTGTGTTGGTCCCTGTGAAATGCTTTCTATAAATGGTCCACTGAAACCATTATGTTGAAAAACATACCTTGCTTGGCTTTCCCAGGGTGGTATCTGAGTGTTCAGGTGATGATATAAGTGACAAAGTTCTATTGCATCAGTTTTGTACAAGAGCAGCTGTAGCCCATGTGTGAGAGGAACATGAGCAAATGAAGGAGACATGAGGCTCATTGGTATGAGGACCATATGCACGGGTTTCTCCAGGATAGCCCTGATATCTTTTAAAATCATAAAATACATTCAAAAGACTTTTGATATATGGATTCACAAATTCGCAGTAATTGTTAGTTTCTGTGAAGGAAATTATTGGTTCAAAATTGCTGCCATGAGTTTATTGGGGCACTTTGTAGAGCTGTCTTTCCTGGAGTTAAATTCCTCTTCTCTTCCACTTCTCAAGTAGTTAGAGCATAAGGTTATCAGGGCACTTGATGTGCTGTGTAATTGAGGAGTTAACTGCTTTGGGTTATCTCGCTTGTTCTGTTTAAAAGACAGTCTTTGCCAAATTGTGGTAATTTTTACTCATTATCTTTCAAAAAAAAATACTTTGAAGAGTAAATTGAATTCCTGAATTTTCAGAGTTCTTTACCTTGATTCCGTACTACTTTCTTTAAATTAGAGCCATTTTTTATTAGTTTCAAGGAAACAGTTTCTTAAAACAAGGTTTGTGTTGCATTGAAAACAAAGAGTTTTTTCTTAAATTTTTCATCTCTGCATAATTCTACTGATGGAATTATAGCAATTGCAGGTAGTAAATCTTTGTACTCACTGAGAGCACAGCTGGTTTCCAAGTCAGATGATAAAAATCTGATTGCAATTCCTAGAGCATATTTCATTGCTGGATTGGCATTTGAATTATAGAGTAAAAACTCGGCTATAAACCTCTCTCACTCTTTGTTGGGATTTAGCAACATAGTACTCTCAAGGAGCTTTATCTGAGTATTTAGCAACTTCCTCTTCTGAGGCACTGGCACAAAACGGACTCTAGTGATTCTGACCCAGGCCATTCCCAGTGACCTTTATAAATGATGTTTTGGGTTTTGTATTTCTAAGGAGCCAAGTCAGCATTTTAAAAGGCCCTGATAGATATAACTCAGTCTGCCAGACCAGACCTGGGGCGCTCTGGACCAGGGTAATTATACCCCTTCTCAACATAGATTTACCCCAGGCCTGACTTGAACTACTCTCTGGAGGGATGAAGCAGGACACTGTTATCCAGTCTGCCTTTACCTTAATGTCAGGCTACTTTTGCAAGCTCCTAATCCCAAACAGCTGTCTTAAAAATGCAACATCATCCCTATGCAATGGGTCAAAATGATGCATCCAGCTACGTACATGGAAGAGCTGTATAAGAGGTACATGATCTGTGCCTTTGTCCCTAAGAAGCTTCTAGTCTATGCGAAGGACTAAGATTGATACTCATAAAATAGAGGCTGATACAGAACGTAATCATAAAATAGAGGCTGATACAGAACATAATGTCTTATTAATGGGAGGACAGAATAAGTGGTAGGAACACTGAATATAGATGTATCCTCCGGAAGTCCCAAATTTTTCAAACACTTAATTTTAAATATTCTATCCAGTTGTTTTGCAATCCAAGAATGTATCTAGGACCTGCCATGCATTTCAGTTTGCCATTAGCACTGGGGAGCAACACCCACACACAACTAAAACAATAACAACAAAAACCTCTGTTAGATAATATGTCCAGATTTTGAGTTCAAAAGAAAATGTAGTCACCAGAGCAAGAGCACATTGGAAAACGGGGAGGTTTTTGCATGTCACTGATTTAAAACAGTGGGCCCACTGGGATTTATCAGTGAAAAAAGCAAAAAACTTCAAGTATTGGGAAAATTAACTTTAAGCACATGCCTTTCTGACAAAAGGTTGAAGTATCCTCTGTGTGCAGAACAGTGTAATTATAAGGGCCCATTGCAATAATTCAAGGCATTGCTTAACCAAGGGGCAGTAATTACTGCCCAAGCCAGAAAAAGATGGAAGTGGAACACACTGGTGTGAACTCAAGGATAACTCAACATGGATGCATGTTCAAAGTCACATAAGAGAGGTCTTTCCAAGCCAAATGGCTTTAGGAACCTAAAATAGAGCCATAATTAAGCAATAAGACGTGACAGAGAGCACATTTCTTGGTGATTATAGCATGCCTCAGGGATAAGTCACTAGGCCAGAAGTTCATATGAGGAGTGAAATAACCTTGCAATGTATAGTGTCACGCTGCTAGAGGGGGAAGGAGGAGGAAATGAATAATGGGAGTTAGTAGAGTTATTTCATAAGCTATTATTTCAGTTGTTGGGTAACACTACCTTGTGTATACTACACATGGCCATTAGTCGTATCCAGCATCCTAAAGCTCCATGTTTACACCAGAACCTTCATTTAAGTAAAAGCCCTGTAGAACTGTCCATCTTCTCATTTTCTCAGCCAAGCAAAAACCAGGCAATACAGACACAAACTTAAAAGTCCATAGCCATATAAATGGAACTATATAGTCTGGTAGAATTATAATTGCAGTTGCTTAACCCTGGCTTGTATAACTTGGAAGTAGCTGAAGCAACCACATTGAGTCATTTTCAGTATTGTGGCTCATTTGTCTCATGTGCATTTAACTCAGAAACTGCCAGTAGACATGGCCCTGTGTCCCATAGGTCCAGAAACCTCTGCAGCCTTCTGTGCTGAGCTTCCCTTCCTCACTGAGTTGCTGCTGGAAGACAGGGAGCACTCTAGAACTAGTCACCAATTGAACCCCACGCTATGGTGGAGGCGGGCCTTTCACCGGGATGACAAGTGAGATACCCAGTTTCCAAACTCTGAAGATGCCCTGAAAAGGCCTGCACATAGAGGCAGCCAGCTATCTTATTGCCATATTCCTCTCCATGTTTCTCTTATTCTTATCACTTTAGAACAGTGGTTCCCAAACTTATTTGGCCTACCGCCCCCTTTCCAGAAAAAATATTACTCAGCCCCTGGAAATTAATTTTTTTTAAATTTTAATAGCAGTTACTCATCGCCCCCAAATGCACCTGTGGCCATCACCGCCCCCCTGGATCGCCGCAGCACCTACCAGGGGGCGGTAGCGCCCACTTTGGGAATCACTGCTTTAGAAGATAATTAAAAATCTTCTGAACCAAACAGACAAGTTTTTTTGTGGTCCTTCACATCTCCTATGGCACAGGCCAGGGCTGTACTCTGGACAAATTTCTGGGCAAACAATGGTTTTTATCTTAGTCCAGCCCCTCTTTTAGGTGACCCGTGCTCTCACTCTCTTCAAATCTGCTCTTAAGAAAAGATCTGAAGACAGTTACTATAGACTGAAAATGTTGTGTCCTTCCAAAATTCATACGTTGAAACCTAACCCCTGATGTGATGGTATTAGGAGATGGGTGGTGTCTTTGTAATGTTAGGCCATGAGGGTGGAGCACTCATGAATGAGACTTATGTTCTTGTAAAAGACCTTAAAAAGCTCCCCTACCTCTTTGACTATGTAAGGACACAGAGAAGATAGTCATCTCTGAACCAGAAAGCAGCTCCTTACTAGATACTGAACCTGCCAGCACTTTGGTCTTGAACTTCGTAGCCTCCAGAACTGTGAGAAATAAATTTCTATTTTTGACAAGTCATCCAGTCTATAGTATTCTGTGATAGCAGCCTGAATAGACTAAGAAAACAGTTACTTACATCTTGGGGAAACTTTAAATCAGGTTACTTTTCCCAAGTGTCTCTACATTTTAATGTAATGAATTATTTTAAAGTAATGTATTTCAGTTTGTGTTGTGGAAAGCTTAACCCCCAACTAAAGGAATTTAAAGCATCAGAGAGCAGGTGTGAGAAGGAATTGAGATTCTGAAATGATATCCGAATGCATGAGCTGAGAATTGAATCTCAGAAGCTTCGCCCATGCTATAGTCTCCATTTAAGAAAGATGACCCAACCTGTCCTCCCCGACTTCCCATTGCTAGTGGAACATGTTAGGGAAATGAAATCAAGTCTGCCGTTCTAGCCACAAGTATCACTTACCTGTGGTTGCATAATAAACTGTCCCATAACTCAGTGTCTGAGATAAAAAACCACTGTTGTTTGCTTATGATTCTGTGGGTTAAGTATTTGGTCCAGGCTCTGCTAGAAGTTCTGCTGATCTTATTGGGGATCACTCAGGAGGTTGCAGTACTCCACAGGGTTTCTTAGGGGTGGGTGGTCTAAGACAGCCCCACCCACAACCTGGCAATTGGTGATGCCTGACACCTAGGGCTTTTTCTCCATTTCGTCTCATCCTCCAGAGAGCCAGTTTGAATACAGTGGGGCCTTGACTTATGAGTTTAATTCATTCAGAGACCGAGCTTGTTAAGGAGCTCATTAACTCAAATTATTCTGTCAACTCAATGCAAAAAATCGGCGGGGAGACAGCCGGCATCTCAAAATACTCGTTAGTCGGGACACTCGTAAGT